GCGACCCGAAGTCTTTGGAAACAAAAAAACCAGCTCGAATTCTGGCTCATTGTGACATTAAAAAAAAAAAAAAAAAAAAAAAACCACGAGAAAATGACAAAAAGATGTGCCAGTAAGGGGAAGCCAGCAACCGGCAGCTCTGCCCCAGTTCCCGTCTGGAGTGTGGGCTTCTTTAATTTAGGGCTGGCTCCGTACCTGACTTCCCTGGTCCTCCCTTTTCTTTGCTGATCTCGTCAGCTATTCATGAGCCAAGGAAGTTTGGATTAAAGCCTCTCATTGTCCGAGTCCCAACTCGGTCAAGTGTAGAGAGAATAGGTCTGCCAGACCTTCCAAAAGGGAATATGAATTTGTCCGATGGAAAATCCGGTTACATATCTACTAGGCATCAGGCAGAGCGGCGAGGCGCATGAGCAGTTTGCCCATCACAGAGACATGAAGACATGTATGTGGAAATACAACAGAGGCTCTAGCCTAGGCTGTGCCAGAGGTGGACCCCAGATCACCCACTGCGCTCTTGTCAGGGTTTGGAACTGGCGATCAACTTATGCCTCTTGTCACCATTTCTAGTTCACAAACATTTCTTCCTCCATAGCCTCCCAAACCACCCCGAACCTGGGAGGACACAGCTGCAGGGATGGCCCGCTCTAACTGCAGCAAGGCCTGAGCCAGGGCCATCCCAGGTCACAGGAGATGTAAGAGGTCATGTGTGTTTCAACAGTCAATGCTGTGGATGGGGGCAGAGGGTCCTTTTTCTGTCTCTCGAGAAACATGAAGAGCTGGGCTGGGAGCACTGTTCAGTGGTAGAGAGTTTTGCTTGCTTAGCCTGGCCCTGGGTTTTATTTCCCAGCATTGCGATAAGGAAGTAAAGTTGCAGATGATTAAAACCAACAACAGGACTAGTGATCTGGCTCAGCATGTGAAGATGTAAAGGCGCCTGCTACCAAGTCTGAAGACCTGTGTTCAATTCCTGGAACCACTCGATGAAAGAACTGACTCTCACAAGTCATGTCTCTCCCTGCACTGTGCTCGCACATGCATGCACACACGTGTACACACACACACACACACACACACACACACACACACAATTAAATCAACCCATCCAAAGGCTATTTTTGTTTGTCTGAGTTCAAAGGTCCCCAGTGTTCAGTGACTGACTGCTTTGTTTAATGGTTAATTCCAGCAGACGTATTCTCTACACTTTGAATTGGGACTCAGACAGTGAGAGGCTTTAACCCTGCGCCTCCTGTGTTAGACTTGAGTGTGGGGGTTATTGTCATCACACCCAGATCAGGCAAGGGAATTTGTCGTTATTCTCATGTTAGGAAAGCCCGTGGGTTTCAATCTAGAACTGCTGTTTCTTTAAAAATGTATTGCTTAAGTGTTTCCTTAGAAAGGTAAGGTATTAAGTACAATTTTCCCTAGCCACAACTTGCATGGTGTATCAGCCTTGCAGAAACTTCATTAAAATTAAGCAGAGAGAATCCATATGGAGAGAACTCCACAGGGTACTTGAGGAGAGACGCTCTCAGCAGGTCTGGCCATTCCTCAGTGTGCACATGGCACCCCTGGGAGTCTTAAGTCTGATGCTTGTACCTTGGAGCAGGCAGGGAATCAGACCTGTTTTTCTGAATCTCTGCTTTTTCTTCTTGTTTTTGAGGCAGGGCTTCTCTATGTAAGTCCCAACTGGCCGGGAACTCAACTCTGAGACCTGCTTCTGCCGCCTGAGCCCCGGGATTTAAAGATGTATTCCCCGACACCTGGCAGACTTTGTTTATTCTAATTACTCCCCAGGTTATATCATTACTCTTGGTTCAGGTATTCCAAAGGGCTCTGTGCAGTTTTGCCTACATCCTGACACTCAGGATGGCAAGACTGCTAGGAATCATGATGGCAGTGATGGAGATAAAGGAGTGTGATGGGAGGGCAAGAAGGTCCTCTAGATTAGTGGTTCTCCGCCTTCCTAATGCTGCCCCTTCATAAAGGTTCTCAGTGTGGTAACCCTCAACCTTAAAATCACTTCACTGCTACTTCATGAGGGTCTGGGTCTATCCCCAGCGCAGCATTAACCAGGCTGCGTGGAGCATGTTTATAATCCCTGCACTAGAGAGGTGGAGGCAGGAGGATGATAAATTCAGGGTAATCCTCAGTTTGACAGCAAGCTAGATGTCAGCCTGGGATACACAGCCCTGCTTTGATCTGGGAGGAGAGTGGCAATAGACTGCTCTGGGTCTGGTCTGAACTTAACAGGCTTGTTGCTACCTAGGTCAAGAGACAACTAAAGAAATAAATAAAGGGACCAGGATCCAGTTTTCACAATCCCAACATCCTCTTCATCTGTTTACAGCAGGAACTGTCAATGCACTGAGAATTACGCCTGCCCTGTTTGTGGCACATCACAGGAACCTTCTACTTCATCAGCCACCGTATGAGAACGTAAAGGAAGCAGAACAAACACCACAACCTTTTATCTGAAAAGTTTTAAAGCCTCTGTACCATTAATGGTGTTTAGTATTTGTTTAGTACTCAGACGTTTTCACAAAGCCCTTCATAGTGCAGTAATGAGCTGGCTCTGGTAGTGCAAATCTGTGATTTCGGCATCTTAGAGGTAGAGGCAGGAGGACTGCAAATTTGAGGGTAGCCTGGGCTACACAGACCCAACTCCTTTAAAAAAAAAAAAAGCCAAACCCAAAATGATAGTACAAAGAAAATAAGAAGGCATACTGTGTAGGTTCTCTTAAGGATGCTTACTGTGGACGTTCATTAGGTTTTCCAAAGAAACAGGGCATCACATGGCTTAGGATGGCCAAGGACTTACTACCGAGCCTAAGATGATCTCGAACTTCTGATATTCCTACTGAGTGGGAGTACAGGCCATCTGTTTTCAACTTTTTTGAGTCAGGGTCTCATTATGAAGCCCTGGCTGGCCTGGAACTGGATATGCAGACTAGGATGGCTTCAGTTTGCAGAGATCTACCTGCCTCTGTCTCCTGAGTGCCTAGAGCTGTGATTTACTTACTCTACAGCCGTGGCCATGTTTCCTCCTGTGTAAGAGAGGAAGATCTTACCATGTAGGGTGAGGACAAAGCCATGATGTTTCCACAGACATGGAGCTTTTAGTGCATGTTCGGTGGTAGCATGTCATCCCCTAAACTGCACAACTGAGGAATCTTTGACTCACCGCCACTTAAGTTGTGGTCTGACGGCGTAAAGCCAGCCTGTAAAGCAACTATTTCATGGGCGTTTTAAAGCTGAAAGTGAAAAAGCATCTAGAAGAGTGACCCGAAAATTATTTTGTTTCGTTTGGCCCAATTTAAGAAGTCCCTGGAGCTGAGTGATGGTGGCACAGGCAGAAGCAGGTGGATCTCTGAGTTCAAGGCCAGCCTGGTCTACAGAGTGAGTTCCAGGACAGCCAGGGCTACACAGAGAAACCCTGTCTGGGGCTGGAGGGGAAGTATCTGGAAACTATAAAAATACCAAAGTAGGCCGGGCGGTGGTGGCGCACGCCTTTAATCCCAGCACTTGGGAGGCAGAGGCAGGCGGATCTCTGTGAGTTCGAGGCCAGCCTGGGCTACCAAGTGAGTTCCAGGAAAGGCGCAAAGCTACACAAGAGAAACCCTGTCTCAAAAAAAAAAAAAAAAAAAAAAATACCAAAGTAGTGCTATTTGCTCAGATCATAATTCTGGTCTATGAAATCAGGTGCCAAGGAGATCATTATGATGGCAAAATTACAGCCTGACTTCTCAGCAGGTTCACACTGACATACCAAGGTGCTTGGACTGTACTAAAGTCCTGGCTGAAACATAACCTAGGAAGCATGGACTACAGTAGAAAAAAGAAATCATAAAAGCCACCAAAAGTGTAAACATAGGGTTGGCAATGTAGCCTCATGGCAGAATAACTACTTAGCTGTGGATTTTCAGCACCACAAAATGAAACCAAACACAAACATAAACCTGATCATTTTCCATGTTTACTAAGGTAAGCTAGATTTGGTTTTATTGATTTTTTTTTTTGCTGTGAAGGCTGCCCCCTCCCTAGACAAACTGTTTGCTACAAAGCATCAATGACACAAAGTAACACCCTGAAGTAAGTCACACCATGAAACAGGAGGGAGAGCTAATGGCAGCACCAGAGTGGCTGGAGTTCTAGGCCAGCACAAGTAGGAACAAATGAATGAGATCTTACCAAACAAAGGCTTTCCCTAAGGTAAGAAACGCGACATGTTCAACCTTACCTGGGTCACTGAACAAAGTACCAGTTTAATCGCAATGCTAGTTCCTGGACATTTGACTTAACACTTCAACAAATTAAAAAGGAATTCTCTGCACACTGACTGGTCATCCCAGCATCTGTGAGGTAAAGGCAGGAAGATCGAGCAATCAAGGCTAGCCTTGGTTACATACTGAGTTTCTGGTCAGTCGGGGATAAAAGAGAGACCCTCTCTCAAAAACCAAACCGAAACTTAACAAAAATCATACTACTCAAAATCAAACTATGAAAACAAAACAATACAACAAAAACTTCTCCCAAATTTACAGAGCATTTCTGGTTTTGTGACCCTGATTTCTGTATGGTTTGCAGCTAGTCGTATCTGCCTTTGGATTTAATTTCATCTGTAGGAGGAACACTGCTCTCTCTGACTGGAGCTGTTGGAGGAATTCATAATTCTCATTTACTTGATGCAAGATTCTAGTGTCTCTAATTATTAGTCTAATAGATAAAATCTGGACTAACTGATATAAGTGATAAAACATTTTGAAGTATGAGGTCATTGAAAACATCTGTGCGCTTAAAAATCTGATTTTGGCTTGGTGTATGGTCATTATATTGATGGGTGGATGAATCAATGGAGGTTTTGATTTATTTAAGCTTTAGGTCTGGCATACACCTGTAAGTTTAGGATCGCTACTGACGTTTCACTGTTGAAAAATATATGTCTGGCCAGGCTTGAAAGCACAGGCCTTTAATCCCAGCACCTGGAGGGCAGAAGCGAGCGGATTTCAGTGAGTTCAAGGCCTGCCTGGTCTACATTGTGAGTTCCAGGGCAGCTAGGGCTATATAGTGAGACTGTCTAAATGAATAATAATAAAAACAAGTGGTGAGGATTTTAAGGAGGAGAGGATGAGAGGCGATGCTTCTTTGTAGGTTTGCCATTTCAAGGGCAAAAACATCTCTTGCATCCTGACTTTGCAGTAGCAACCCTTCACAGTTCAATGACAGTGCCCAAGCACTTGCCTAGGGCAATACTATGTGCCATTCCTAAGTACTGCACTTGCTGCAAGACAAGCTCCACTAAGTAGAGAGAAGCTCCACTAAGTAGATGACTATCGACACGTTTCTCCTTGGGCCTCCGTGGAATTATTATCTTTTCCAGGGTAGCGAACTCTCCACCACTCCTCGCACCCAGGGCTTGGAGAGACACAGCCCGTCTCCCTAAAAGTTGGGTAAAGTGAATCCAGACAACTTAGCTCAGGAGTCAGGCCAGGAAAATCCGCAAAGTAAGGTGACGCAGGTCGGAAGTAGCTCAGGAATTCCAGCTTCAAGCGCTCATCCCAGAGCCTGTGACAGCAGTAACCAACCCTCGTCGGAGCCTGGCCTTGCAGACGCTTACCTGTTTTTGCACCGGCCTCCAGCCGGAGACATTCAGCAAGATTCTAAAGCACCGGGGATCTGGGGATCACCGTTTGCGGTTTTTTTTTTTTCAGGTCTGCGCATGCGTCCTACTCCTCCAGCGGCTGCCCTAGCCTGGCAGAGGCTCATTCTCACCAACTACGCATGCGAGAAACCGAGGCGTCTTTCCCGCAGTTTCTAGGGAACCAATCGGCAGAGGCCTTGACCTCAAGCCCCACCCTCACGCCTCCGGCGTGGCCTGAGCGTCAGGGCCGGGTGGGAAGGCGTGTGCCTGCGCCGGCTCCGCCCTCTTCCGAGCAGCCAATCGCGACCGAGGCGCCGGGCGCGCGCACGCTCCGTGGAGTTTAACGGCCGCGTGAGGCCAATTTCTCGACCCCGACCAGGCAAGAGGCGAGGAGGCCAGGTAAGCGGTGGCGCCCGGTGGGGGAGCTGCGAGCCGCGAGGGCTGAGGACTGAGTCCTGGACGACCCCATCAGAGCGGACACCACCCCCGACCTTGGGTGCGCTGACAGGCTGGGGTGAGGGGCGACAGCCACGACGTGCGGGGTTCTGCTGTGGCGTGCGCCTTTTCTAGACTCGTGCCCTTGAGTGACATCCGCGAGGCCCAATCGGAGAGCGTCCTCCGCGAGGGGCGTGAGTGCTCCCCCCTCCCGTCCCTGGATAGTGGTACCCGGGCTGCCTTTGGAAATCACAGTGACAGTGAGCGGCTCTCCATCATCCCTGCCGCCGTGTATCCTCTCGCCTCCGGTCTTGAACCGATAGCCGCTACCTGCGACTAGGGGCTGACTTCAACACCTGAAAACCACTTCGTACTGGTTCCGTTCAGCCTTCCCGTAAAGAGGAAGCCCGGTGAACGTTCAAATTGTTAATGCTGCTCCATCACTCCTGCCTCCAACCCCAAAGGGTTGTAGGGTGAGGGATAGAGCATCGTTTTTTTTGGATGCTGGAAATTATATTTAAAATGTCTGTTCCTGTATTATTTCGGATCCACAGCGGATTTCCCCCTCCTCGCCCGTTCCGTGCCGGGAGAGGTGTCATTGAGTCTCTAGTGTTTCTATCTGAATCTTTGGCATCCGGATTACCTCAGCGGAGGTGGATGTGGGGGGTAGGGCAGGGTGATGAGAAGAGATGGAACTGTAGAGCCATCTCTCTGGAGAACTTGTGGTCATTTGAATCCAGGTGTTTTTGGTGCCAGTTGGAAGAGGCAGCCCTGGCTTTTTCAATACCCCATTTGTCATTGGTGATGGGCCGGACTCTGGGGTGGGAAGGTAGGGGAAGTGGAGTCCATTTAGGTCTGGTCACCTTTTGCCTCTGTGCCTATCCTGGAGGAAATGCTTCTTGAGCGTCAATGAACTGATTGTGTTCTTTAAGCCCTGGAAAGTGAGAGTTGGGTGGATCAGGAACGTGAGAGAGTTCTTCCGATGCAGTCTCTGAACTTCTCATTTTATAAGCAGCAGGGTTTTTTTTTTTTTTTTTATTGGTTTTGTTCCCTCTCATCTTTTTCGATTCTCCTGTCTTTTTTAAAATCAATGGATTCTGGAAGGATGAGTCATATGGTTGGGCTTATAACAGCAAGTTTATCTCTGTATGTCCAGATTTAGTAAATGTTAGTTAACTTGTGCAGATTACAAAAGGCTCTGTATTGAGAATTGTACATCCAGCCATTTTTACCATCTAAGTAGCTCGTAAACACCAACTTAAAGACTAAATAGTTAAGTCCTGTTAGTGGCTGTGTAAGTGAAACACTTTTGCAATGTAGGAATTCCTAAATAAGTGAACCAGGCCTGGAAGTAGTCCATTATTACATAACAGAGTGCACTAGAACCTTGATTATTAAATGTAAAATTCTGAAATACTGCCTGTAGGAGATGATGTGATTCTTACAAATTGCCTTAAAAAGACATATGGTTCCTATACATAAACTCCATCCTGTTGAAAGTATGTGATTTAGGAGTTTTAGAAAAAAAAAAAAAAGCTAATTCCAGAACTTTCCATCACCCCAAGTTGAAAATAGACTACACTGCAGTGGCCTCCCTTCTCCCCTTCTCTGTCCTGCAGACATAAATGAAGTTATTGATCACTGGTCTTCCCCCTGCCCCTGACACAGGTTTGTCTGTGCAGCCCTGGCTGTCCTGGAACTCACTCTGTAGGCCAGGCTGGCCTCGAACTTGGAGCGATTGGACTGCCTCTGACTCCCGAGTGCTGGGATAGAAGCCTGTCTAGTGTTTTCTGTGCATGACTCAGTGCCGTTGTTTCTCCTTGGGGACCAGTAGTATTCCACCATGTGGATGTGCCATACTGCTTTGTCCCTTCATCTGCAGAGGGACATTGGGGTGTTTCTACACTTTGGCCATTGTGAATACTATTGCTATTCTTTTTACACTTTTGATTTAGTGTGCGTGTGTGTGTGTGTGTGTGTGTGTGTGTGTGTGTGTGTATGTATGTATGTGTTCATGTTCATGTGCACTCCTGTGTGTTGCATAGAGGACAGAGGAGTCAGTTCTCACCTTCTCCCACGAGTTCTAGAGCTTGAGCATGTGTGTTTGGGCTTGCCTGGCAAGCACTCTTGGCCACTGAGCCCTAATATTGCTGTTCTTTTTGTTTGTTTGTTTGTTTGTTTGTTTGTTTGTTTGGTTTCTCGAGACAGGGTTTCTCTGTGTAGTTTTGATGCCAGTCCTGGATCTCGCTCTGTAGACCAGGCTGGCCTCGAACTCACAGAGCTGTATCCACCTGCCTCTGCCTCCTGAGTGCTGGGATTAAAGGCATGGGCTGCCACGACTGGTTGCTGTTCTTAATGTAGATGAATTGGAGAGGTTTCCAAAGCCATGAAAAGATAGTGGGTAAATTTAGTGGCCTTTTCAGTAGTTTCTCCCCATTCATTTTCAGACTCTTTGGAAGTGTAGCAGACTTCACAGTTCTGAATGTCAGCTGCTGAGGATGCCAGTAGACGATGAGGCAGCTGAAGAGGACTCGGAAGCGGTCTCCTCCTTCAGGAGAAGCAAGAGTGTTTCCAGATGACAGAGCTTAACAATTTTTGTACGATATGGAGGATTTTGATTTAGTGGAAACTTTACAAAAAACTTCACCTTCTCTAGACTCTAATATCAAAAGTATTCCCCATTCTCTTGGATTGAGCTTGCATGCCAATAGGTAAGAATTGTTAGATACTATTTTCTTTCTTTATTTTCTTTTATTTTATTTTGGGATAGGGTTTCTCTGTGTTAACAGTCCTGGCTGTCTTGGAACTCGCTCTATAGACCAGGTTGACCTTGAACTCAGAGATCTGTAATTAAACTTTTTTTATTTCGTAACATATAAACATATCTTTAAAATATGGTAGCTTAAATACATACATGTATTTATTTTATTTTTTGAGATAAGGCCTCTTATAACCCAGGCTAGCTTGACTCATAATGAAGCCAGAGATAATCTTGGAACTTTTGATTCTCTGCCTACTGATAATTGCCTAATTCTTTCTCCTTTTTTTGCTTTTTTAAAGAGACAGTCTCATTGTGTAGCTCAGGCTGGCCTCAAACTCAAGGCCGTCCTCCTGCCTTAGCCTTCCTAGTACTGGAATTACAAATGTGAGCTCCCATACCTGGCTGATTTCTACATTTAAATGAATAGTATAGATAATATTTTGTATTGCAGAAGCATCTCACCAATCTGTGAAGTAACAATTTAAAATGACTATCAGAGGCTGGGCGGTGGTGGCGCAGGCCTTTAATCCCTGTCCTTGGGAGGCAGAGGCAGGGTGATCTCTGAGTTCCAGAACAGCCTGGTCCATGGAGCGAGTTCTAGGATAGCCAAGGCTACCAAAGAAACCCTGTCTGGGGGCCAGGGGGAAGTATTAGTAACTACACAAAACACAGACTATAGGTTGACAAAATAGCCAATAAAATGCTTTATGTATTTAGTTACTGATTGATTGATTTAGGGTCTCTATGTCCTTGGCTGCTCTGAAGATCATTTATGTAGACCAGACACACCTGTAATCTGTAGCAGTCTCCTGACTCTACCTCCCAAACTGGGGATTATTGCTTTGTGACCCCTCTCCCCCATACAAATACACGTAGTATTTCAGTGCATTTTCTTCCTTCCTTTCCTTCCCCTTCCTTCTTTCCTTCTTTTATTTATTTATTTGTTTTCTTAAAAAAAAATTTATACAGGGCCTCTCTACATAGCCTTACCTGTCCTGAATCTCACTCTGTAGACCAGGCTGGCCTCGAACTCACAGCGATCCACCTGGCTCTGCCTCTAAGAGTGCTGGGATTAAAGGTGTGCGCCACCACACTTGGCAGAAGGTCAAATAGCTTTTTATATAAAGATTTTTGACAATTTGTGTATTGTAAATAAACTACTTTAAAAATTGTTAAATCTCTGCCTTCCTTGTGAGGAATATGAAGCAGTTTTGAGATTGTATAACACCACAGAGTATAAGTTAGTATGAGAGACAGATGTAGAAGCCTGAGAAGTGACCCAGAAGGAATATCTGCTGCCATGCCATGCTCTGCCTTGTCAGCGGAACACTGGCCCACATTTTATTTGCTGTCTCATTGGGTGGCCCCTCTGAAATCCACTTGCGGAAGAAATTCCCATTAGTGCTTGAATTGCTGTCAAACCTGCATGTGCTTTTCTCCTGAAATTTATGTCATTGAACCTGTATCCTCTTTGTTCGTGGCTGACACTTGAATCTACCATGTTGAAACTGGATTACTGCAACTCTGTAAAGTTCTTATGGACAATGTATTTTTTTTTTAAAGAGTTTATTATATTCTTGCTCTTGAATTTTTATTAATTTTTTTTCTGGTCCTAACTTTATTATTTTAGTGTTTTCATTTTGGTTAGTGTGTGTGTGTGTGTGTGTGTGTGTGTGTGTGTGTGTGTGTGTGTATGTGAAACAAAGCAGGTCTACTCAATAAGTAAATAAAATTGAACGCTTGTCTGGCATGCAGGAAGCCCTGGGTTCCGTTCCTAGCACAACACAAATCAGGAATCACACGGTTCAAGCCTGTAATTCCTGCACTTGGGAGGAAAGTAAGGAAGAACAGCGGTTCAAGGTCACCCTCTCCTCCACAGTGACTTGAGGCCAGCCTAGCATACACGTGGCTGAAAACCATAACAATAG